AACACATCTTGATTGCATGTTCGGTCAATTTCAGACTGCAGAAGTTGATAAAAATCTTCAATTTCCTCATCTTTTGCTTTGGTGGTTGGTGCATAAAATTTGAATAATAGTCATATTAACTAATCTTCCTTGTGGATGTAGGGATATTGTCCTATCACTGACAGCATTGTACTTCAGGACAGATCTTGAAACATCCTTTGTGATGATGAATGCCATACCATTCTTCTTCAATTTGTCATTCTTGGCATATTAGATCATATGGTTGTCTGATTCAAAATGGCCAAAACCAGTCCATTTCAGCTCACTAATGCCTAGGATATCAATCTTCATGAGTTCCATTTCATTTTTGACAACTTCCAATTTTCCTAAATTTGTACTTCATATGTTCCATGTTCTGATTATTAATGGATGTTTGCAGCTGTTTCTCCTCAATTTGAGTCATGCCACGTCAGCACATGGAGGTCCTGAAAGACTTACTGTATCCATATCATTAAGGTTGGTTCTACTCTAATGAGGCAGCTCTTTCCCAGTCCTATTTCGAATGCCTTCCAACCCAAGGGGCTAGTCTTCCTGCACTGTGTCAGACAATGTTTCCAAGCTATTCATAAAGTTGCCCAGTAATGTATCACACAGTGTTTCTCTGCTATTCATGAGCTTTTCCCTGGCAAGTTTTTGAGAAGTGGATGGCCTCCTCCTTCTTCCTAGTCTGTCTTAGTCGATAAGCGGCATTGAAACTTGTGTACCATATGCAACTCTCCTGGCATCTGAAACACCAGTGGCACAGCCTCAAGCCTCACAAGACAATGTACAAGCCTCACAGGATGACAACTGACAGACAAGTTTGTCTCCCTTAGCTGTCGGAAACCTCTGCAACCTCCTTTTACCTAATTCCTACTTGAACCCTCCTACTCTGTGGTCCCTGGCCACTCCTGGTCCCTCCCTTTCCTGGCTCTAGGGGTCTAGCCTTGCCTCCTGCCCCTGCATATCCTGCCACTCCTGAGGTCCCCGGGGCCACTCTTGGTCCCTCCCTTTCCTGGCTATAGAACTTGGGGCCCAACCTTGCCTCCCGTCCTTTTTAACCTGGATGTCCTGCTCGTGTACTTTGGTTTCTTGTTTTGTTTTATGAAAATATCTATATTTTTCATTTTTCATATATTTTATTTCTCTCTCTCTCTCTCTCTCTCTCTTCTCTCTTGAATTATGCTTAGGGTGCAAATTTACAAAGCAACCTTGTTTTACATTCAGCAGTCCACACACATCTGATTTCATGGCCCCGATAACCATCCCCAACCATAAAAAACTCTCCTCCCCTCTCCTCCCTGTGACCACCCCCCTCCCTCTACCCTTCTTATCTATGCATTCCTGTCTGTCCAGCTTTCCCTCTATGTGAATGCTGCCCCTCTGGTGTCTCATGGTTGATTGCTTTAAGAGGTACATCTCCCTAGAGTAGGTGGGTACATTAGCATGGGTTAGATGTTCTGTATGTAGGTATTTTGGCTATTGGGCTGAGAGCCAATCCATATAAGTGAGTCCATTTCTAGGCCCAAAGGTTAACCTGGGACCATAGTCTCAGGGGTCTTTGGCAACACATAGGCTAAAATCAGAACAACATAGAAATTAGCATGGCCCCTGTGCAAGGAATGTCTCATATACTTTGGACATATTATCAGAAGGACCAATCCCTGGAAAAGTATGTCATGCTGAGTAAAGTAGAGGGTGACCAAAAAGAGGAAGACCCTCAATGAGATGGATTGACATAGTGGCAGCAGCAGTGGACTCACACATAGTAAGGATGGCACAAGACTGGGCACTGTTTTACTCTCTTGTACATAGGGTCACTATTAATTGGAACTGACTCAATAGCACCTAACCACAGCAACAAGCATACGAAAATCTGAATTTTTAATAAAAATTAAATTGAGAGATAGTGTGTTTTACAACATTTTTACTATTGGGTTTGAGGAACCTATAGGTGACAGATGTAAGGAGACAGTAGCAGGATACAAGACTAGAGAGATAATAGGGGATTGGACAGCAAGCAGATCAGGTAGATCCTGAAGACTATTTACTCTGAATTTACTCTGCATTTACTCTGAATGAGATAAGAACTATTGGAGGATGTTGAGCAGAGGAGTAACATGTTCTTATTTAAGTTTTGAAAGAACCACTTGGATGCTGCATTGAGAACAGATTGTAGAAGTGACAAGATGTAGCAAGACCCAAAGCAGGATGACCAGTTGTGAAGCCATTGCGGTAATCCAAGCAAAAGATGGAAGTTAGAGCCAATTTTGTTCTAAGCCCTGAACTCTCTGTCATCTGTTCCTTACTCTGTGGCTAAACATCAGGAATAGAATTGCCCAGCTGTGAGGACAGGTCCAAACCTGTCATGATTTCATTAACCTGAAGCCACCAAATTCTTGCTTAATGGTGGCTTAGCTCCTTATGCAGAACATTGATCACCCCATAATTGTCTGAAAAAAATGCACTTGGTTTCTTTATTATTTTAAAGGTTGGGTTGCCTGGGTGTTATATATCTTCATTTTACTCCTGAGCAAAGAGTAATTTTTTTTTTTTTTGTAATGGAATAATGTACGTGGCAGTTAGCATCTTTTCTCTGTTCCTTATAGAAAGCCCAACACTACTAGGGAATAGAGTGTGACTGTCTGAGCTTTGTTCTTCTATGGGAATTTTAGAATAACACAAGACATCAATACAAGAAGGTCTCTCTAAGCTAGAGTCAACTTTCGATTATCTAAAGCAGTAAGAGAGGGCATGTGTGATTGAAAGCATCATTTCCAGAGCCAGATAAAAGACCACCTCCTGTTTGGGACTGTATTAGTTTCCTAGGGCTGCTATGACAAATTACCACAAACTGGGTGACTTAACAGAAATTTATCTATCACAGGTCTGGTAGCTAGAAATATAAAATCAAGGTATCAGCAGGGCCATGCTCTCTCTGCAGCCTCTAGGAGAGAATCTATTCCATGTCTTTCTCTTCACATCTCGTGTTGCCATCTTTGGGGTTCTTGGCTGGTAGATGTATCACTCTGGTTGTTGCCTCTGTAGTCACATGACATTCTTCCTATGTGTCTCTGTCCCTGTATCTCTTCTACTTTTCTTGTAAAGATACCAGTCATATTGGATTAAGGGCTCACTCTGCTGCAGTAAGGGGTCCCTAAGTGGCACAAATAGTTAAGCACTCAGCTTACAACCAAAAGAATGGTGTAATCTCCTCGACAGCAATTTGTGTGTGTGTGTTTGCTTCTACTTCAGTAGAAATCCCTCAGTGGTACACGTGGTTAATGCATACAGCTGCTGACCAAAAGGTTAGAAGCTCAACTCTACCCAGAAGTACTTTGGAAGAAATTCCTGGTGGTCTTCTTCTAAAAAACCAGCCAGTGAGTCAGGATCAACTCAGTGGCAACTGAGTCTACTCCAGTACAACCTCATCTTAACTAATTACATCTATAATGATTTTATTTCCAAATGAGGCAATATTCTGAGGTTCTGGGAAGAAAGTGAATTTGGGGACACTAGTGAGTGCCATTCAGGTACTTTTGGCATTTCCTTGTCTCTTTCCAGAAGCATGAGCAATGTTCACTGACTGCCCTTCCATTTTGCCCTTCTCCTTCATGGCTGTTATGTGGAGATGAATGTGAATCTTCTCTGCCTTATCCCAGAATGGTAACTCAGCCTCACCGTGAGGAGGGTGAGCAGATTTGCCTCCAGGCCAAGCAGACAGCTTGAAGTTCCCAACTGTCTTTGGCTTCCTCAGCCAAGGAGCCATCTGACAGACCACCAAGTGAACTGGCAGCAGAATCCGAAAAAGCCATCCCATTGCACGACCCCACATGGGTCAGGCAGCACAATCGGCTGTTCTTGTGACTCTGCTTTTCAAATACATGCACAATCCCAAGGCTTTACTTCCTTCCAGTTGGCAAAACCAGCTTTCTCCTCCTTCTAAGAAAAAAGACGCACAGCAACGTCAACTTGTGCTTCCTGGCCTTCCCTTTACAAGTGGAGTGTGAGTGAATCAGAGACATATGGGTTACATTTCCCTGGAAAGACACTGAAGTTCCAAAGCAAACTTGGCAAAAGGCATTGGAGGGGGAGGGGGCACTTTCAGCACATCCAGAGCCTTTGAGCGTTTCCCAGAGAGAGTCAGCAGCACCATTCAACCCGTGTCTGCCACAGGGTGCTCAGACCTGCCCACCCCAAGCCCAGATACTGTGCTTAGCAAAAGTGACTCTCTGACTAAGGTAATTAATGTTGCTATGAGGTATTATAACAAGTACCTAATTTTAAAATGATGCCCTCCAAACAACATGTGTTGTAAAATGACTTTAAAACCCCCTATGTCTGCATAAAGAAGCACCCCACCAATAACAGTAACCTGTTAAGAGTTTCGCCAGAGGCTGTACTTAAAAAAGAAAGCTAAACATTTATGACTTTGTATAATGGCCATCCTGCCTAGTAGCATCCAAGCCGCAAAATGTGCCCCTCCCTGAGAAATATATTAATATACTTTCAGTTTTATATGCAAGTAAAATTATGGTAATAACTTTACCCTCTCCTACTTGTCCTTTTACTTGTTATAAGTGCTTAAATTAAACCATTGTTTAATAGGCAAGCTTTTCTTCAGCAGCTAGGTAGGATCTTAGGGAACAATTGCTTAGGCCTCCGACTCCAATGCCTGTGGTCCAAGAAGGGTGAGGGGAATCAACACCCATGCACATCACTCCTGGTAGGGGACTCAGGATCCCACCAGACTTGGAGCTGTTTTGTTGATACATTTGGAAGGATGCTAGTGAGGCTTGTTCCAACCAGTTTTAGTACAAAATATTATCCCTATGGAGTTCCTGGGTGGTGCAAATGGTTAATGCCCTTGGCCATGAACTGAAATGTTGGCAGTTGGGGTCCATCCATTGGTACCTTGGGAGAAAAAAAGGCCTGGCAATTGGCTTTCGAAAGATCACAGCCTGGAAAAAGCTATGGAGCACAGTTCTCCTCTCATACACATGGGTTACACCATGAGTCAGAATCATCTAGAATGGCAACTGGTTTTTTTTGTTTAGTTTAGTAGTTTCCCTGTGATGATGACATATCTGGGGAGTGCAGACTGCTGCTGGGGAGACTGAGAGGAGAGAACTCCAAGGGCAGATCCATGATAGGGCTGGCTCTGCCTTGCCAGCTCTAGCTCTGCTTAACTATGGCCAGAATGAGGTGGTGGGGACAGGAGGAAGTAAGCCCACAAGCCTGCTTCTCTCTTTGAGGGTCTTTAGGCATCTTTCCGCTGCCCCTCCTCAAAGAAGTAGACAGGATAGAACTCAAAGCGTGGTGTCATATTCTGGATTTGGGGAGAGATGTTATGGCCAAGGGACCATAGACAGGAGTTACCAGGGGAGCCTCCATGTCTGCAAAAAAGATCAAAGGTTTAGGAAAGACAGGAATCTGAGTAGAAGAAAAATGAAGTTTATTTTGTTCATAATCGACTTAGGTGATTTTGGTTAAAATACTCACCTCGTCCTCTCTCTCATGGGTGTCCTCCTGAGCAAGTATATCCCACAAGGAGTTGAGTTTTCCTGGTCATCTCCAGGATCCCTCACTGAAGACTCCCCTTTCTATTCCTGTGTGCACTGCATTGGCCCCTCTGTGGCCCACAATTTCTTTCTGATGCTGATCCCGGTGACAGACTCTGAACCCTCTGTTCCTTCCCTGTTGCCCTGGAGCTAGAGCTTTCCCTGAGGAGTTTTCATTTTGCAAAATAATTTGGCATTTACAGATAATTTACTGAACCATTTCTTTCCATCTAGAGGAAGTCATGCTTGCTGAAGAAAACAAAAATGCCGGAACATCAGCCTTAGAAGGTAAGGCAGTGCTCCGCCACCTCACCCCATTTGCATTTGCCCCCTCTTGTGCACTGGCAATCTCTCTTGATCAAAAGAGGAGAAAAAATAAAAGATTGGTGCTCTGGGATTTGAAATGAAAGTCTCTGTCATAAAATCCCTCATGCTTTAAAATGAAGGGAATTGAGTCACAGAGTTAAATGCATTTTAAAGTGATGAAAATGGGATCCAAGTGTTGCTTTGTTCCGGGGCATGTGATTGATACTGTGCAATGGAAAGGCTAGGGTACAACCAATGGTATATAAAGGGATCTCTTTTCAAAATTTGTGGGGATCATCTTGGGACCATTTTATCACCAGGAAGTGACATTGGTTACAAAGAGCCAGAACAAATAGAGAGCACTTGATTACCTACTGCATTTCTGTGAGCTCTGGCAAAGATTTGACACTGTTTGTATTCCAGAAGGTGCTACCCACATTTCTGCAGACACTCTTCGATTTCTATAACCCTAGGTCAGGTATTAGAGTCAGATGCTTTTGTACCACGTCTTGCACCTCTTTCCTACAGTCTGCAAAGTCTTAACTGGAGTGACCTGGTTGTATTTGTGGCCTATTATCGGCCTTCTTCCTTTGTTGGTAATAGTGCTTCGAAGGGCAACAATCAAGAGGAGCCGGACGGAGGCCATGACCCGAGACTCCAGTGATGAACACTGCGTTGACATCTCATCTGTGGGTAAGTGGAACCGGTTAGACCTTCTTCTCATCTCTGAATCTCCCATAAAAAGATTTTGCCTATGGGGCAGCACTTCTCCTAGCTATAAGGGAGAAGAGAATATGAAGAAACCAGGATGGGGGGATGTAACCAGGGAAGGGCACGGGGATCTAATCTAAATGTCAATGATTTATAGAAAAATCTGGCCTAGAGAATGCTGTTTACATGCAACATGGGGTACAGGGCTCGGAATCCAATCCAGGGTCTTTAGTTGTGGCAAACATGTACATTTGGAGATGATCCCATCTCTCCTAGATGTGCTGATAAGAACCCACGTCGGGATATTATTCAAAGGATCCAAGGATCTATTGCTTCTAGGCCAGTGACTCAGATTTAAGGAGTTAAAGTCATTTGCTTAACCATAGTAGCACCTACCTACTTCCATCATGTGATGTTAAATTAGTTCCTATTGACAGCCCTTTAACATGACAGGTGTTCAGTCTCAGATTCTCTTAGAGATTCTGGCTGATGACAGAATTGTCCTCCCCAGAAAAAAAGGAGAAGGTCTCACTTAGCCTTAAAAGCAGAAGAGATTTACAGAGCTCATTGCTGCTTTATGCTGCCAATAGTAGAAATATCACAAACGTGGCAGAATGATTCCAGTGCCTAAAGCATATTTAAAAGGAAAGGCCAGGGAGAAGCTCAATCTGTTACAAATATGATCCTATTAGGATTTAAGACACTGGGTGTTTGCCCAGTGTCTTGCTGGGGGATCTGTCAATTTCCTAAAACTAGAAGTGCCCAGAGAGGGGGAAAGAAAAAGGATCTCTGTCTATAGAAATTACTTATCCCACAGCTTGGGGATTCCCAGGGCCTCCAATGTGGGATCACCTCACCCCAGGACAAAGCTGTCCCCCCAGCCTTGAATGGTACCTAGATGACTACCTGGCTTTGGAGGTGATCCCAGGACATTCTGTAGCCTTACTATTTCTCTTATTTCTCTCCCCTCAGGCACACCTCTTGCCCGAGCCAGTATCAAAAGTGCAAAGGTAGACGGGGCCTCCTATTTCCGGCACAAGGAAAGGCTCCTGCGCATCTCCATTCGCCACATGGTTAAATCTCAAGTGTTCTACTGGATTGTGCTGAGCCTTGTGGCCCTCAACACTGCCTGTGTGGCCATCGTCCATCACAACCAGCCACAGTGGCTCACTCACCTCCTCTGTAAGTGAATAGGGATGGCTGGCCTTCACTTGACCCGCTTGGTTGGGGTATGAATGTGAGAGAACAAGGAGTCATGCTAGCCTGACAGTGGTTCTGTCTCATCATGAGAGAAATTATGAGGGAGATCAGAGTAGTCCTCAAGACCATGGTGTCATATAACTATCTCCCGCTTTCATTCACCATTGAATTAGATAAGCAGATCTTTCCAGATAAGTCAACAAGATGATTATGTTGTTGTGTGCCTTTGAGCCTTTGATTCTGACTCACAGTTACTGTACAGGACAGACAGAGTAGAACTGCCCCCACAGGGTTTCCTAGGCTGAAATCTTTATGGGAGCAGATCACCAGGTGTTTTTTGGCAGGTGCGTTCAAACCTCTGACCTTTCAGTTAGCAGCTGAACTTAGTGTTGGGTAATATAGGGCTTTCACTTATAATAAAATCTGCAAAAGCTGGAAGCAGTGTAATGCCGAAACCTGTCAAAGAAAGAAAATTTGAGTATTTTCCATTAAAACAAGTAATAGAAAAGTGGTAGGATAGCACATTGTCAAAGGTGGAAAACTTAGGAAACCTGGAAATACAAAACAGACCTGTCAACTTCTGGCTCTCACTGTGAAACTAGGTTTCACTACTTCCTTAAGGAGCCGCAGTGGTATAGGGAATTCTGTTCACTGAAGTACTGGTAAGAAAGTTCTTGAAAGAGGCTACCTCTGCTAAGACTGGCAATCCTAATAGGACCCATCTCTTTCATGAAAGCTTTTCTTTCTCCCCAGAAGGCCATCTACCATTTAAATACCAGTTACAAACCCACCTGTTGACAGAGAGCAAAGCTGATCTATCTGGGTGTTTCTGGAACTCTTGCGGGGTCAGAGACTATTCACACTCACACTGATCTGATGAATGTCCTCACATGTATGTGGGTTCTGCCCCTGTTGTGGAGGACTACTCTGTGGTCAGTTGCGTTAAGCTGGGATGTGAATGAGCCATACCATCTATGAAACAAATAACTCTGCTTTTAATGTTTTCAGACTATGCAGAATTTTTGTTTCTGGGGCTCTTCCTCTTGGAGATGTCCCTGAAGATGTACGGCATGGGGCCTCGCCTTTATTTTCACTCTTCATTCAACTGCTTTGATTTTGGGGTAAGTACATGAAAACCTACCTGTCTTTCTGCTTCGTATTGATATGCCAAAGTGTTAGATAAGCAGCTGGCTCCATTACTCAGCATGAGGCATTGAAATCAGAATTTGGAAAAGGGAAATAGATAAGATTAGCCAAAGTAAGTTCAAGAGTGACTAAATCTTAGTCACAGAGGGTTGTTTTTTTTCTCTTTACAGCTCTTTTTTTTTTTTTTAATGTATTGAAGTACAACATATATGCTATAGAATGCACACTTAAGTATGTAGCTCAATGAATTTTTAGTTACACCCGTAGTCAGAGTTTTGAACCACTTAACTGTCTTGGGGGTAGTCTAGGGGAGAAGGAAAAATGACTTGATTCCAGAAGGAAAATAAATAAAAAAGAGATGTTATGTTTTGTTTCTTTACTTTTTTTCTCTAGTTCATTTTAAAATTGGGAAAATTATATACCTATACTCTCATGCAAGTGTACTCGCACACACACACACACACACACACATTTATATTAGCTAGCTCCCACATAGAATATTTCACACAGCTTTCCACTTTCTAAATCATATCAATATATTAATTTGTATATTGCTCACAGTTTGAATTCTACACACTATATTTTTTATTTATTTATTTATTTTTAATTAGGATTTGGGTGAAGATTTACAGAGTAAATTCACTTTTCATACAGCAGTTCACATATACTTTGTCTCATGTCATTGACCAAAATTTACAATGCAGCAGCTCCCCTCCCACTTCCTCCCTATAGTTACCTCCTCCCAGTGTCCATCCCTTCATACTCTTCTGCACCCTGAGCTATCTCCCTGTGCATAAGCAGCCCTTCCTTCTCCCATGATTGTTCTCTCCAGGGCATCTACACACTATATTATGTTATCAGGAGTTGACCTTCCTATTTGCACATGAGTAAGTAGAGGCCAGCATGTGTAAGTCCACATAGCTAGCTGGCAGCAGAACTCGATCACAGAACTGTGAGTTCATGAAACACTTCTCTTTCTGCCAAACCCACTTCTTTTTCTGCCACATATTCAGTTTAGTGCTAAAGATTTTGAGCATTTCTCAGTGTACATTTTAACTTGGTTCTGGGTCTAGACAATTTTCAGGCATAACAGCCCAGGAAAGACCATTTTAACCTTAGCTTCCATGTATAAATTGAGAAGGAAGGTTGGGCAATCTACTTCTGTAGCTCTCAGACCCTCTGTCAACGTGTATTGTCACATTGGGGTATGTGGGACCTGAGGGACTGAAAGATTTTTAATATACAGGTGACTGAAGCATTTTTGTTAGCACTAAATTCTAGGACAATGAGAGAATATGGACCCACTCTCGGAGATTTTTGTATTAGAATGCAGCCCATATTAATTCAAATTGGATTCCTAGTTTTGGGGAGCACTCCTTCTTCATCTGTTTATTCCAGGTAGTATATCATGAGAACAGACATGACTGTCTCATTTGTGCAGAAGAGGGGATGAGCTGTTGTAGGTTCCACCAAGGACAGGACAGGAGTCAGAAAACCGATCTGCAGTATGAAAGAGTAAAATTAGGAAGGAGAGTGGAGAGCAGTGGGGAGAGAGGAGACAGAGTCTCCTTCTTTGGCAGCCTTCACAAATAGTAGCCCTGTTGGGAGTAGGGCTGGGTTGGCAGGGGGAGCTTTAATGCCATCATAGCCCAGTAAGGGCTATTATTTTGTGTTGGATACCAGCACGCTTGTCTCTTCTCTTTTGCTTCCTTCTCTCACTGTGTCTGGATTTGACTTCTTCAGGTCACTGTGGGAAGTATTTTTGAAGTGGTCTGGGCAATCTTCAGACCTGGTACATCTTTTGGAATCAGTGTGTTACGAGCTCTTCGGCTTCTAAGAATATTTAAAATAACCAAGTAAGTGATGAGAATTGGACACCTTCCACTCACCTTTGAGAGTAGAAATTCCTCATTGCTTTGTTATGTATTTTTTTCCATTCCCTAGGACTCCCTTCCCTATCCCACCTCTAGCCCATTCTTTAGCTCTTCCTCTCCTCCTAAGATAAAAAAAATATCTATAATGCCGGATCCTATGCCACATTTCTAAGAGGCGCACATACTTCCACTTCCTACAAGTGTACACATGCAACTTATTTTATAGACCACCAGGCAGATGCCCAACTGGGCCTGAAATAATGGGGTACTCAGTGTTCACAGCTATAACATTGTCTGGGTTTTCAATAGGTATTGGGCATCCCTACGGAATTTGGTGGTCTCCTTGATGAGTTCCATGAAGTCTATCATCAGTTTGCTCTTCCTGCTTTTCCTCTTCATCGTTGTCTTTGCTCTCCTGGGAATGCAGCTGTTTGGAGGCAGGTAAGCACAAAAGCTCTAGTAGCATAGTACCTAAGGCACTTGGCTGCTAACTAGTAGGCTGGGGGTTCAAACCCACAAGCCACTCCTTGGAAGAAAGATGGGGCAATCTACTTCTGTAGTGATACTGCCTCAGAAACCCAAGAAGGGTTTGACCTGACTCGCTATGAGTCAGGTGCAACTCAACAGCACATAACAACAACAACCAGAAGCACAGAAGAGCTTCCCATTTGAGGAAGCTGACAAATGCTGTGGTTCAGAACTTGGTCTTGACCCTGTGAGATCCAGGGTCATTAGCTTGATTGCCATGTTACCATTTTGTGTGCTCTTACCTGTAGTCCCAATCCACCACTGTGTCCATCTATGGAACAAATGCCTCTACTTTTAATCCTTTCAGACTGCACGAGGTTCTTGTTCCTGGGACTTGTCCTTTTAGAGTTGTCCTGAAATGTATAGCAGGAGACCTTATTACTGGTACCCTCCATCCATAGTAATCACTAATATAATCTTCATAAGGTATATGAAGGGGGAGAAATGTTGAGTAGAGGGGTATATGGAGAAAGGAGAAATGAAGTGATTAAAACAGTAGTCTGGGAAGGAAAAACTTGGTTATGATATCTTTATTCCATTCTTTTTTCTGAATTTCTTTTTCAGGTTTTTTTTTTTTGGGGGGGGTGTATATGATATGGGGAGGGTAGCTAAAACTAGTGAGTTTTATGATAAACCATTAAATAGTTTGTGGTCTACACCAAGGAAATATCTTTGAAACTCAGAATACACAAAATATATAACCACAAAGCAAACTGCTAACAAGCTTCTCTGTGCACTCATTCATATGACAGAGCTGCAAGCAACAATTGAACAGGTGTAACCAAGGTTTTTTTTTTTTTTTTAATAATTTGTCCTGTTTTAGGTGAAAGTTTACACAGCAAATTAGGTTCCCATTTAACAGTTCTTATAAAAATTGTTCCATGACATTCATGATAATTTTTGCAATGTGTCAGTGTTCTCATTATTTCCATTCTGTTTGTTCTGTTTTCATTGATCTAGCTTCCCTGCCACTCCTTGCCTTCTCCTTTTTTCTTTGGAGTAAATGCTGATTGTTTGATCTCATAGAGTTGATTGTTTAAGGGAGCACTTCTACTCATGAGTGATACTGTTTATTTTGTAAGCCAATCAGTTATTTGGCTAGAAGATGACGTCTGGGAGTGGCTTTGTTCCAAGTTAAAAGAATATCTTAGAGTGACAGTTTGAAGGTTCCACTAGTCTTTATCAGTCCAGTGAGTCTGATCTGTATTAGGAGTTAGAAATTTTTTCTACATTTTCCCATTTTGTCTAGGACCTTCTATTGTGTCCCTCAGTGGGACACAATAGTGTTAATAGTGTTAGCCAGGCACCATGTAGTTCTTCTTGACTCAGGCTAGAAGATGCCTTAGTCCTGTAGAGTACTTTATTCTTTGAGTGTTTGGTCTCCTTTACTCTCTTTTTCTCAAGATGAGAAAAGACCAATAGTTATATCTCAGATGACCACTGACGAGTTTTAAGACCCTAGATGCTACTCACCCAACTAGGATGTAGAACATTATCTTTATGAACTATGTTATGGCAATTGACTGAGTTGTCTCATGAGACTATGGATCCAAGACTTTTAACTCAGTAAACTAATCCCACAGGATGTTTGGGTATGTCTAGGAAGTGTCCATAATGTGAGGTATAATGTGACCCCATGTGATTTATTATATATATAAATATATATATTTATACAAATGTGTGTGTGTGTGTGTGTATGACTACAAATATACATACATGTACATGTACTCACATATGCCTTCCTATAGACATATACCATACATATCTAGCTGTGTAACTACATACATATTTTTTGGTTTTTCCTACTGTGGTTGCAAAATTGTATATGTTCTAGCATTTACCAAAATTTTTCTTTATTCTTGCATCCTTCTTAGTGTGGTTCATTTACCTTGGTCAGATTATGCTGACTTCTCCCATATTGGATATTGCCTTTCACGTCACCAAAAATAACTATTTAGAAAGTGATTCCCCTTTCTTGTCCCTCCCATTTCTGGTAACCATCAAAGAATGTTTCTTTCTGTTTATATACCTATTCTTGACTTTTTATAAAAGTGAGACCATACAGTATTCGTTCTTTTGTGGTTGACTTACTTCACTCAACATATGTTCTCTAGATTCATCTATGTTATAATATGATTTGCAGACTCACCATTACTTTTTATCATTGCATAGTATTCATTGTATATATGTACCACAACTTGTTTACCCATTCATCTGTTGATGGTCACTTAAGTTGTTTCCATCTTTTTGCTATTGTGAATAATGGTGCAATGAAATCAGGTGTGCATATGTCTATTTGTGTCACTGCTCTTGTAGCTCTAGGATATATACCTAGGAGTGGGATTGCTGGATCATAAGATATTTCTATGTGTAGCTTTTCTAGGAAGCACTATACCATTTTTTTGTAGTGGTTGTACCATTTTGTAATCCCACCAGCAGTGTAGAAGAGTTCTAATCTCCCTGTAACCTCACCAGCATTTGTTGCTTTTTTATTATTTTGCCAGAGATTTTTTTCCCAGTGTATAGGTTCCATTTTCACTCTTTTGATAAGTATAAGAACTTAATATTTAGGATGTTCCAGTTATATGATTTATCTTCTGTTGTTCATGTAGTTTTACTTGTGTTTGATACTCTATTTATGCCTAAAATTAGAATCCCTAGTTTTGTCCCTGAGTTATCTTCTAGGAACTTTATAGTTTTAGCTTTAACATTTAGGTCTTTTATCCATTTTGAGTTCATTTTGTGTATGGTGTGAGGTATGGATCCTGTTTCATTATTCTGCAAATGGATATACAGTTTTCTTAGCATGACTTGTTAAAGATACTGTTTTTTCCCCATTGGATGGTG